ATAATATATAATGAATAAAAAGAAAAACGAAATTCAAGTACATCAAGGTAATTTAATTTAATATATGTATATATTTATATACATCAACTTTATATGCATAAAAACCCGTTAACCAAAGAAATGAAGAATTAATATTCAAATAATGAAAAATGACAAAGAATAATAAACTAGTTTAAATTGTACTTAACAATTCTTAAAAACTTTCTGAATAACCTAAATTTTCTTCAGACAACTACTTATCTCTATATACCACAAAATCAATCCACCCTCTGTCACAGCCCGAACAGCGTATACAAGAACTGACGCCAGCAACTTGACATCGTCTCTCTGGTGGCGCTTCGTCGTTGTCTGTTTCAAGTTTGCTCGCATGCAAATTGCACTGATTACCACCGCGTTGCACTTTTCTTCTGTTCCCTCTTTACTATGTTTCCTCCCATTTCCCCATTTCTCTGCCGTTCTTTGCTTACACATTTGATTTGGTTGCATTTTGTCTGGCACTTTTCATGTTTTCTACTTAAGTAAACCAAACGCAAATCGCCTTCATTGCAGACACTTTTTCTTCACTCTACTGTTCAGCTCTGTTTTTCTTTCACCCTCCCCCAGCTATTATACTTTGGCCAGTCCGCGCTTTTAACACTTGATGTATTTATGTTACCCTGTCCCTCGCTATAATCGACCATGCTTTGTTTTGGCTTGCACTTTATGGGGCAGGGTCAGCGTCATAAAATTTAACTGCATTTACTGCAATTCAAGTGGAAATGAGGCGTCATTTGTTGGGCCCCATAGAATACTAACAGAAATTTGTAATAGCGTGTTGGCGCTGCGTCTTATTACAAGAGGGTGCTTCGCATTGTACTTAAGTATAATAGTTTTCACATGGAGGGCGGTTGATAATGATCTACAAATTCTGATAGCTTTATGGCCCACAGTGAAAATAGAATGTTTTAAGTATAGGGAGTGCGAATTAAAAATGGAAATGAAATATAAATATATACTTCTATTTAGTAATTGAAGTACATAAAAGTTGTATAAATTTCGGTATAGAATTACTTAGATATATTATCTGTTATAAGTTGTCATTTAACAGAAATATATCTTTAAATGTTTTTTTTTTTTTTTTTTTAGGTATTTCAATCGTTACGCAGCACTACTAATCTGCAGACTAAGCTCAAGACGCTGCAGTTCATTGCCACACTCAATCGAGGTAGCTTGAACTTTTGCCTTGCCTCGTGGTTTACATATACATACATATATATATATTTATATCCACTTTTCAAACTGCAAAGCTCTTCAATGGAGCCCTTAGCCCGTGCCCAAACTGAAAATAACAACAAGCATTGCATACAAAGCCCAAAAACCAATCAAAGGTTGCTGCTGCTGCTGCCTTGCCGCCTGCTGCTTTTGCGACGACTGCCAAAAAGTATGCTACACTTTCTACGACAGCAGCAGCGGCAGGAGCAGGACTATGAGCAGCACCAGCAGCAGCAGCAGCAGCAGCAGGATCCACAGCAGGAAACAAAACTCGGCGACTCACTCAAGCATTTTATTAAATTGCCACCTTCCGTTTGTTGTTACGTTGGCTCCAACAACTGTTGTCTGCAACTGTCTTTTATTTTCGATTTCTAGGCATAAACCAACACACAGTTACCCGCCTTCCTTGGCCCACTCCGATTGTAACATCAAAAAACAGGAAAAAAAAATCAAGGGAGGAAATACCAGAGGAATATTTCTGCCATCTTTTTCTATTATATCGTTTCCGCTGTTTGGCATAAATTTCTGCGCGGCGGCGGCCAAAGTAAAACTTTTTTTTTGTTATTTTGTATGCTTATTGCAAGTTTCCCTTCACTTCTTACTTTTCATTTCCATCTATCTGTTATTTTTGAGGTTGAAGTGCCAAAGCACACGAATACCAAATACAAAATACTAAAAACAATAAAAAATCAACTACAAGGCAAGCGGAAAAAATATAAATAAAAACGAAAATTGTCTAGTTTTTGGCTTTGCGGCGATATTGAAATGCGATTGCGGCAGAGACTTAGTATATACATATATACACAAATACATATACACCAATAGATAGCTATGTATAACTGTATATACACATACATATACATGTCTATAATGCGGCAATTGTTGGAGTTAGTCCAAAATGCATTTGCATTGCCATCGCTTTAGGCGCATTGCGGGCGTTTCGCCTTTTAAGCTTATCTAAAATTGAAATTCAAACACGACCAAGCAATCAGAAAAAAAACTTTTAGTTCTGTTAATTATATAGCCGCAGGAAGTCAAGCCTAAATCGAATCACTCAGAAATGCATGAGCTGAAAACTATTTATTTAATATATACTTGCTTTCGGTATCAAAATAATTCTATTTAATCATCTTTCCTATATATATGAGAAAAATAACTCTAGAACTCATTTTGCCAATTGGCATCAGCTCTGTAAATGATTCTAAATCTAATTAGCAAAACTTTTCGCGCTTATATTCATTAAAAATGGGAACATTCTAGTATCAAAAGCAGCCATATATAACGATATTTCGGGACGAAAGAATTAAGCATACGCCATGTTGAGCAAGCGTAATTACACGCATAGCAGCAGCGTGAGGTAGGGAGAAAAAGAGGGTGGGTGAAGGGCAAAGCGGATGCAGCTGGCAGAAGCCGCATGTCAAAAAGTTTCTTTGCGCTTTTCATTTTGTTGTTGTTGGTTTCACTCTCTCATTCAGCCTGGCAGCAAACACTACAACTTGTTAACAATACGCGCTGCTAGAGGTCGCCAATTAAAAAATTTCCAAGCGCCCATTACATGCAACATGCTTGACTGTATGTGTGCGTGGGAGTGCGACTGTGATGGTGAGTATATATGTATATGGGTGTGTATGTGTATGTGTCGAAAAGTCAACATTTTTGTGGTCACTTAAGCAGATTAATTTCATGGGTATAATTAAAAGAAGAAGCCACTGCAAGCGAGATGAATGGAGAGCGAAAGAGAGAGAGAGACAGTGCGGGAGATATATATATATATATAAGGAGAGAGCGCGGTTAAGCTGGCAACGAAAAAAATTAACATATATTAAATTTTTGTGCACAAAACTTCTTTTTTTTTTTTACCATGTTAAACAATTTTGCAACGCGGCGCACATAATTGATGGTTTTTAATTAACTGCCAAGTGACCGACACGCAACTGACAGAAAGCCAAAAAAAAAGAGACTAAAGTGGCATTCAAAAAAAAAAAAAAAAAAAAAAAAAAAAATCCGCTAAAAAATTTAAACTGTGGCCTGTCCATCGAGCGAGACACATGAGTGGGGAGTGGGGTCAGGATACTCGTGCCATGCCCCAATACATTGAAGCTGCAAACAAAAGCTGTCAAATACAGCTGCAGCTGCTGTTGCAGTCACAGTCGCTTTTAGGCCGAGGCAAGCATCTGACATACAGTTTTGGAGCAACTGCAGACGCACAATTTGTATAATTATATATGAAACATATTCAAATATTAATTCAACTCTGACAGCTGAAACAAACAGATGAAGTTCGCATTGAAATGCCAGTTTCAAAGTTCAAAGTTGCCGTCAAAGTTAAAATGTGTTGACAGTCGCACACAAGCTGAGCGTCAAATTATTGAAATAATACTGAAAACACTTTGACGTCAATTAGAAGTTATGAACATTGTCTGTAAACTAATTTAGCTCGCGATTTAGGTATACAGCATTTTTTTTTCTCTGACTAGAACATTGAACTTTCAGTCAAAGTTGTTAAATATAAATAAAATTTAAATTTTGGGGTTGGTAATACCTTTGATTAAAAGTAGAATGTAGATTATCAGAATCTACAATAAGCAATCTACAAGAAGCAATAAAAGACACCCAACACATGATAATAAAAATCTCTTCTTTTTACGGCCCCCTCATATGATTTTATTTGATAAAAAATTTCATAAGCTTACCATTTCGATTTTCACTATCGGCGGGTTTCATCTGTATGGGATGGTACATCTGTAAATAAAGAGAGAAAGCATAAGAACATAAGTATATACAAATAATAAAACTACAAAAAATGTAAAATAAACTTTAAGTAATTCTTTATTTTTAGCATATTTAAATTACTTTTCTTCATATCTAAGCTCTTCTGACGTATTCCCTTTCTAAGCTCACACATTGCTTATTTCGACTTCATTTATATTTGATTTTTCTTTTGTGCCATCCTTTTTACGCTTTGGCGAGCTGCTAACAAAATTCCAAGGATTTGGGCAACCTAATTTGCCGTGTTAATCACATTTGATATATTGTGGCGCTATATAAACGACGCAGTCTGCGATTAATTTGGCCGGCTCTTTGGCGCAGTGCAACCAGCCAAAATTGGACAACTTAGTCCCAGCGGACGCGCGCTCTATGCTGTATACACACATACACGCATACATACATACATATACATGTATATAAGTTTGTGTGCGTGTAAGTAACGTCCATTTAGTTGGCGCTGCAGCAGCGTATGCCCCTCGCTGCGCGCTTTTCCTTTTTCCTTTTTTTTTTTTTGCTTTTGATAGGCGCTTAAGCTGCATAATGAATGAATGCAGTAAAGAGCCGACAAGCTGCTTCTAACTGGCCACCAAATCCTCGACTAAAGCCAAACACATTTATTCAGCGGTCGCCGAGAAGCAACAGCAACAACAACTTTTACTCCTTTTAGCATTCTCTCGCTCTCTCTCTCTCTCTCTCTCTCTCTCTTTGTTGCTCTCCTCTATCTATCTCAGCTGTTGCCGTGAAAATCCTAAAATATGCGTTCGCATTTCCCTATTTTACGCCAAGTTGCAGCAACGTTTTAAATG